CATGTTTCATGCATGGAAACGAGCATGCGTTGTATCTTTGCTCCCTCTGCTCTTTGCACCTCACCCAGGTGTGCTGCGCCTTCACAAGCTTGTCTGTCTTGAGGGCAGCAGCTGTTAGAAATTTACCTTGAACAAGGAACTCAAGAACTGCCTTGGATTTCTCCTATATGAAAAGATATCAGGCATCACTTGTGTGGAGTGGGGGGTAAATCTGGATAGGATGCTGATTTAGGATGCAGGGGCTTGCTGATGGCATAGCTAGTCCTTGCCCAGACAGCCTGTTGCAGAAGGAGAGTACCGGGGGCTGAGCGCAAGGTCTCCAAAAGGTCTTTTTCTTGATGCAGTCGCTGGAATTTCTGATCCAGGCTGGTATAACTGTAGCTAGGCCTGCTGGGTTGACAGTATATGCTGCAACACGAACTGACACTTGTTGAGCCTTTAATTCCAGCTTTGATGTTCTTTAATAATCAGTGTAAATGTAGTGACAATGATTAATTAGTTGCATGTTTAATTTTGTTCCTCCGTTTGGAATCCATCTCAGATCACATGTAGTGGTGGGAAGAGAAGAGGAAGAGTGGCCAGGGAAATGATGTAGTTTCTTGCTTCAGCTGATGCTAAAGTCAGCCCAGTGATTGCCATATTCTCTGTAGCTCAAACTGGAAATCCCTCATAAAGTCCAAGTCACAAACATGCCTTTATTTCACTCAGTTCACAAAGCAGAATTGTTTTTCTGGGGGAAAAAATACTTTATTCTATGAGATTGTGCCAGATGAGGAGTTATACTGGGATTGCAGTGCTGCTTGGTGTCCTGTCTAGGGACAAGGCTTAGACTACCATTTAGCTTCAGTGACCTTGTCCCTGCTGGGAAATGCAGTGATGAATGCTGACCCCCTACGGTTAACAACAGCCGGCTAACGTGTCTTTAAACATGACTATCCTTGCCCACACAAAGGGAAAACTGTATTAAACATTGTGTCAGCTAGGATGCTGGCAAGTTTTCAGGTATGATGCGCTGGCCCAGTATAGATAAACCAGTAACAGCAATTGACCTTTTGTGATGTGCACCACATCCAGGCCTACCCGTTTCCTTTCATGTGGGGTTCAAAGCAGTTCTCACATGAGGGTTACTTTCAGTCTCCTTCAGCCTGGCTTCAGACCAGCAGTGCAGGAATGAAAAGCGGCCTGTCCCTTTCGAGCCCCAGAGTCAGCCAGTCCCTTTCACCAGATGCCATGCATGCTATCACTGGGCTGCTGAGAGCACTGGCCAGAAGCATGGGCAGCCCCTGGAGACCGAAACTGTGCTGGTCTTCTGCAGCTGTATGCATGGAGGCTAAAAAGATGGCAGAGGAGAAGGAGAGTAACAGAACTGGGTTATGATTTACGGGTATAACCGTGAAAGGCCCTGATCTTGCAAGCAGGTTTGAGTCTGCCTGAAGTTGGTTCGTAAAGCACTTTGGGCTGTGGAAGCATTCTGGATTGAGAGCAGGGGTGGTGTTTATGTGAACATGGCTCTTTATTTTTTACTGTTTATAAAAGATAAAGTGTTCGGTCTCCTTCGTACAGAGAGCCACTTCACCTTGCTGCATGTACCAGTGTGGACTTGACATGCTGCAGAGTTACTCTGTTGAGCCCTTGATGGGGAAAAAAACAAACCTCAATTTGTTTTCCTGGCTGCAGAGGTCTCCCGTTTACTGGGGGGGGGCTGTCATGCTACCCATCTAAGAAGGCGAAGTAGAAGGACAATCCCAGAAATGCTCCAGCCCTATCTACTGTAAAAGGAGCAGTTTCCAAAGGGGATGAATTGTTTAACAGCACTGTGTGCCCAAGGCCCTTTACTCTGCAATTCAGAGCATGCTTTCGAGAGAGAGGGCAACTCTTGTGTTTACTGTGCAGTATATGCAGATCTTAAGCAAGATACAGACCGCCTGTCAAAGGCACTGTCAGGTGTTCAGGCCTTCCTTTTGCATTTTGTGGAGTCTCTGGCATCAGCAGCTGTCCCTCCTCCTCCTCCTCCGCCTCCTCTTCGTTTCTAGTGGAGTCCAGTACATGGAAAGCAAGGCCAGACAGCATAACGCACGGCACTGTCATGTTGTGCCCTGTGGTACAATGCGCAGAGATCAGTTTGAGCCAAACCTGCTTTTTATTGCAAATCCCTTTTCAGTAGCTGTAGTGCTCACACACAACACCGTGCGTGTTCCTGTGCTCCCCGCCCGGGGTTTCTTGGTAGTCTCCTAGTCTGTTTCCTGTGGTTTGTATCGTCTCATCTGGACCGAAGGCTTCCGACGTCAGTGTTCTGGTTTTCTAAAAATGCTGTGGTGGTACTTTCCAGTCAACTCAGAAAACTGGGCACCCCTCTTCATGCTGTGAGATTTGTTTTATCTAAAGAATCCTTTAACTGTTCTTTAACTTATTCTTTAAGAATTCTTTAACCTTTTGCATGTTACCCCATACGTGTAAACAGCAGTTGTTTTAGCATAGTGCGTGTGCTGAAACCACAGGTTTGTCTTCGTGTGGAGTTACTCCCGAAGAGTTATTCCTGATGAACTATTTTGGCCTAACTCCAGATATGGATACTCTTCTTCTAGAACATTTAATCGGCTTTAAATTCACATCCTCTCTTACTCTAGATTAATTTTCATGCACAGAAAAGCCCTTAGTAAAAGAGAGGGAAGGAGGCACACTAGTGCAGGGCCAGCACTTGCTAACAGTGTGGTCTTTTCTGTCTGTCCTGCACTCAGGTTTTGTTCTGGTTTAACTGTGTTGGTTAGGGGGTCTGCTGATAGACCCTGTTAAAATGGTCCAAAAATACCTTATACCATGACAGCAGTTTCCCTTTCCCACATAGGTTCGGTGCCCTGCTCATCTGTAGTGGGAGATTCAGAGAGCTGAAGGCCAGATGGCATCATTAGATTATTTAGTCTGACTTGTGCATCATAGGCTATTAAATTCCATCTTGTTATCTATGTGTTTAGCCACATCCAAGATACTAGGTTCAAGTGCATCATCCAGGAAGACATCCACAGTGAGAGGCTTGTACTGCTTTAACTGTATTGTCATAATTAAAGCAGCACAGTGCTTGTGTGCAGACAAGCCCTTGGGCGATTGAACAGTACCAAGGGAAGTGGGACATTTTAAGCTAAAGCAGACACAATTCTGAAGACGGTTCCAGGAGGAGATCACCTTGCCCTGAGAGATGGACTTGATGGAGCCTAATGAGTCTCTTCCACCTTCACTTGACAGAATGAATGGTTCAGAAGAGACATTTCAAACAGTATTTTATCTGACTTATTTTTTAAGGCTCATTCCATGATTTTTAAAGTGAGTGGGGACCATGGAATCCTCTCCGTTGACTCCCGTATTTTACCACTCACACTAATAGGAACTTGCATCTTACTGCAAGATGAAGTTTGTCTTGACTTCCACCACCACCCACTGGGTTGTGTTCTCCCTTTGTCAGTGAGATGGAATTGGCCTCCTAGTATTGGGTCTGGTCTCCACATGTTAAGCACCTGTGTGTAGTGATCAAGTCACATCTCAACCTCCTTTCTAATCAGCTGAATAGATGCTGGAACAAGTTACCCAGAGAGGTGGTAGAAGCTCCATCCTTGGAGGCTTGGCTGGGATGATCTAGCTGGGGCTGGTCCTGTTTTGAGCATGGGGTTGGACAAGATGTGACATCCTGAGGTCCCTTCCAACCCTCACTTTCTATGATTCTGTGCTTCACCCGCACTTCATGTGTTTTTTTCAAGCTCCTCGATCATTTTATTTGTTGTCTTTATTTACTCTTTGTAGCATTTCTACATCCTTTCTCAAATGTAGACCCCAGAGCTGGACATACTATTTTAAGAGTGTTTTTAACAAGGCAGTGTATAGAAGCCAGAGCCCGTCTCCTTTTATACCTAACGTTCCCCTTTATATAGCCTCAAGGAGTTAGTGGAATAGTTATTTTGAAGAGGACAATAAATGACTTTGAAATGGCTAAAGCTTTGTGTGCATATTGCTTTCAACCTTCTTTGTCTTTAGCTGCAGAAGAGGGGCAAGAGTGCATTAATAAAGACTATATGCATATCTGCTCAAACGGCAACATGAACAGGGGCAGGAGGAACAATCCTGGCTTTTGGTCACAGTTTCCCCTCTAATAAAGCTGATCCTATAATGACTGCTCTCTCTGGGCTAAGACTTCTTGGCATATTTTGCCCTTGTGGTAGGAATGTCAAATCCCCACTCTAAAAAGAATAGCTGATTTGTAAAGGTGCATCTGATCTAAGGTTTTGAGGGAGGCTGTTTGATAGGCTTCAGGATCTAGATGGGCCTCTTTCTCTGGCATCCTGGAGAACCCCAGTGTGCTCTACAACATAGTAGAAAGGCAAAAATCTAGAACTCTTGGTTCAGAGATGATACCTTTTATTAGACCAACTGAGAGTGCAAAAAATATTTTTTTTTTCTGCAAGCTTTTGGGCTCGCACACCTTTCATCAGACTCAGGGCAAGTTCAAGATGGTAAAAAGTTCCCATATGTAGAAAATAAGCTTCATTTTTGCATGTATATACAGTACTACTGAGATGCAGCTGCCTCTAAGCTGCTGGGGTGATGCTTTACCAGAGTGCTGCCCATAACCTCTCGTGACTCTGATGGATGTCCCCAGTGCTCTTCCATAGTGCAAACGGGACAGCAGCCTACCAACAGCCAGGCAGGTGGCAAGTTATATGCATGGGTTTTAAATTGCTTCTCCCTTCAGCTGGTCTTGGCGGTGAGGGGATTGAGCGCTCTGTTGTGTTCTCCTCCAGTGCCATGGCTGGAGAGGCAGGGCAGGGTGGACTCTGACTTCCCCGCCAGCTGTAGGGCCCCAGCCATTTCCTCCCAGTGTTTGGCCCCGTTTGCTGAAGTTTCGACTATTGCTGGCCTTGTGCGGAGCAGCCCCCTGTAATCCACAGCTGACAGCTTGTCGTCAGTCACGTGAAAATGTAATTTAGAAATTGGGAAATCTGTTTTGGGGGGAGGGGGGATTACAGCTCGGTGACTGACGTCACAACGTTCTGTGCTGCATTTGAGCCTGAGAACCCAGCGTGATTGCTTTCAAACAGCTCCGTGTTACAGCATCTTCCCCAGCACAGAATTCCCCAGGTGCGTCACACGTTTTTGTTTAATTTAAAAACCAGTCTGTTTCTCTTGTTCTGTTTTTAGCATGGCTGACAAGAACAGCGCCCTGAAATGCACGTTCTCTGCTCCTGGCCACAGCACCACTCTGCTGCAGGGACTGGCCTCGCTCCGAGCTCAGGCTCAACTGCTTGATGTCATCCTCACTATAAATAATGAAGTGTTTCAGGTTCATAAAGTTGTCTTGGCTGCCTGCAGCGACTACTTCAGGTGAGAATTCGTTAGGGAAGCAGACCCAGGCCTCTCTGCCTTTGCCTTTTCCCTCTTGCGCTGGGGAAGTTGGGGGAGGTGCTGGCTCCGAATGTCGCAGGCGGGATGCCAGTACCCTTGGTGACACCGTGCTCCCATCCCTTGTTGAGTGAGCATCTCTCTCTTGGATACGGGCACTGGAATCTGTCCCTCTGTGGGCCTGTCAAGGCCGGTCCCCTGTGGTAGTTGGGCAGAGGCTTGAGTTCCGATTCTGGTTGTGCCCTCCTTTCCTGGGCTGCAGCGGCAACACTCGTTGCCTTTGGGGAGGGAAATAGGCCTTGGCCCACTGAGCAGTGGCTTTTCCAGCTGGTTAAGAAGCAGCACTGAGTGGCGCTGAAATAAGTCCTGAGCTAGCTGGATGGATGGCTACAACAGAACAGCTCAGAAGGAGGAGTTCAGTAGCAGAAATGCAAGTGTTAGTCTTTGGAGTCTTCAGGGTTCCTTTCTGTTTCTGGCTCGTAGCCCCCTGATCCCTGAGTGTCGGAGCCCCCCTCAGCCTGGTGTGCACGTGCATCCCTGGTCCCTCATGAGGTAGGATGGTGCAGTTGCCCCTCAGTGCAAATGGGGAGCTGTGGCACCAAGGTCAGAAGACCTGCCCCGGGATCACGTGGAGCGAGTCTGTTGCAAAGCAGAGAACTGAACCTGGGTGTTCAGTTTAAACTAGCATCTGACCACTGAGCCCACCTGCCTCTTGGTCAAGCTGTTGTTAATCATCCATTTTCATTACTGTGAAGTGCAGTGGGGGTAAAGATTTCCTCTGAAGCCAGAGGCCAGCTGTTTCAGTCATAACAGGCCACGCAGGCAGAAAGGTAGTGGGTATTTTGAACCATACGTGTGCTGAATGAGTTTTGGGCTGGTTGGCATGCTGGTGGGGCAACCTTTGCGCCTGAGCTGAAGGTAGCAAGGGTTGGGAAGATGGATCCTGCCACGCCTGAAAATGTGAGCTCCTCTGCCGCCTAAGAGGATGGGCCGGCAATCCAGGGCGGTCAAGAGCATGTAGTGCTGTGTGCCGGCAAGTCGCTTTGGTCCTTTTGCCCTGCGTTTTGCAGCTGCTCTGGTAATGGCTGCCTGGTACATGTTTTCTGAGCTGATCCAGGGGCTGGGGCTTCTTGGGTTATTTATTTATTTTTAAGTAATGTGAGCCCTCAAGGTTTATTACACTCCCTAATCGGCAGCCGATTAACGATGGAGATGATCTTCCACCAAATGCTAATAGTGCCATTTGTATTCATAAACGCTGGGAGCGGCGCTGCTGCTTGTAGCCTTTTCTCTGTCGAGCCATAATTGCCTCGTCGGTTCCTTTTCTAACTCGCATGTGTTAAGTAGCGCTGTCCGGGGGAACAATGGCAGAGGAATCCAGCCTTTTAGAACACTTTTTATTTGGAAAAGGGGGAGAAGCAATTAATGCCTTTTCACTGCTTTTATGTAATCAGTAGTTCAGAACTGTAACACCTTTTAAAGGAATTGCATTATGTGACAGTTTCTGTCTGCCTGCTCCCTTATTCTCATTCAGCCTCGCTCCACATAATGCACACATACACTCGTCTACCTCTCCCCGGGGAGGAGGGATCAGAAGCATCCTGCTGCTCTGAAAGGTGGGAGACTCGCAGGGATTGTAGTTGAACGCTCCCATCTGCTGCATGGACAAACCAAGTCAATTAGCAGCGTTCCTGGTCAGTGGGCTGTGGAAAGCCAGTTTTCTACCCAGCTTTCTCACTGCTCACATCCTAGAGCTCTTTCTTCATCCAGGTACTAACCCTTTGGCACAGCTTGGGCAGGAGAATCTCAGTTCCCCTTCTGTTGGATTTCCAAAGCTATTTCTTTACTTCTGAGCCTAATTCCCTGAAGGAATGAAATCAGTTTCCCTCGCTCCAAGCTGCCCTGGCCTCCTGTTAGGGGCTTTTAAAATAAGAGCAAAGTTGATTGGTGAATGTGTCCGACAGTCACTGCAGAGAGTCTCACTCCTCCAAACTGCCAGGTAGTTGTGGGGCAGCTGGGGACCATCCTTCTTTCCCCTGCTGTCTTAGTGTTGCTGTTTCTCCAAGCCGGCGCAGCTTCCTGTGGTGGCCCCAGCTGCCCTGCACCTTTGACGAGGTACAAATCCAGCTGAGTGGTGGAACTTCCCCTGCAAACAGGAGGATAAAGTCGAGGGGGCCCTACGCCTAAGGGGAGTCGCATGCAGATTCCTAGATCTTTCTAATTATTGAGCCTTTGGTTCCGTACTCAGCACACCCTTGGCTTTGGGGCAAGTTGCGTCTGGGTAGAAGCACACTCGAGTGGTCTGAGGGTCCAGCAACCCGTGTGCAACCCTCAGTGTGCATCGCCAAGGGCACACTAGGTCTACCCCTGTCGCGCCCACAGACCGTGTCTGGGAAACGGTGTTGCCATGGAAGAGCAGTTAGGTTTTCTGCAGCGCTCGGCTCGGTACGCACATCCTGTGGAGTTTAGAAACCTCCTGATGAGGTGATCCAGGGCTAAGCTCTGTGTGGCCTGGTCAACTGATGTGCTCACAGCTGTGCTGTAACCAGATACTGTTTTTTAATTGCCTCCTAGCCCCCTGCTGTCATGCTGCAATATAACAGAGGCGTTCTGAGGATGTCGCAACTCACGTGTTCAGGAGAGGGGAACAAAGCTCCAAAAAATATCCAAGCAGTCACGTTGGCTTGCAGAGAGGTGTGTAGTTGGAGCAAATGTCTGTGCCTTAGTTCTGGACTCCTTCTAATAAAAGCACTGATGGTCCTGTCCAGATGTCTCTGTTAGGGACCAAGTCTTGGCAATGGATGCCCTCTTTGGGATGACATCTGCCCACTTTTGGTGTGAAATCTAGCCATGAGGCCAGACGCTAGTGGGCATTAGCTTCCTGGGGGTGCCTCCATGAGAGTCCAGCATTGTCCCCTGTAGTTCTCTGTAGGGTTACCGCAAGGAATTTTAAAGTGAAGCGTCGATCCCGTGGCTTTCCCTTGCTGCTGGCCGCAAAGAATCCTAAAGCCATTTCATAACGAGCACACAATAGATCCATGTATGAAAAGGGGGGTGGCAGTATGCAAACTTCAAGGAGCAGTGAACTTCCAAACAGCAGTGCCTTTAGAAACGCATGTGCTCGGCATCACCTCACACGCTCCCTGTGTACACGTAATACCAAGACTATTGGTGTGCGCTCACCGCTTGGTTTTTGCAGATCTGTTAGGGGCATGAATCTTGTTAAAGGCACAAATGTTGCTTCTGAGGCTCAGTTTGGGTGGCTTTGTTACTTTTTTTGCTGAATACCCTCAGACAAAGAGAGATGTGGAGGGATGGTTTGTACCTCTGCCTCCCTAAGGGACCTATTTCATGAAGTGACAGTGTCCTACTGGGGACTAGCTCTACTCAGAAGGATGTCAGAGATGGCAGGATTGGGCCATCATTTTTTTTTTTTATATATATAACTGAACCACTTCATTGTTAGCTCGTCAGGTGAGCACTGCTTCTGTCTCTCTCTGCTGTTAGTTCTTTAAAAATGCCTCGCTTTGATTTCTCCCTTCCCCCAACCAAAAAAAAAGTTAAAGTGGGTGATACATTGCTTTGTATTTGACTGGGGGGAAAAAAAACCTCTTCTGTGTTCTTGACCTTCAGGGCAATGTTCACCGGCGGGATGAGAGAAGCCAACCAAGATGTGATTGAACTGAAAGGTGTATCCGCAAAGGGACTGAAACACATAATAGACTTTGCTTACAGTGCTGAAGTGACTCTTGATCTGGATTGCATTCAGGATGTGCTGGGAGCTGCAGTCTTCCTCCAGATGGTGCCTGTAGTGGAGCTCTGTGAGGAGTTCCTGAAGTCTGCTATGAGTGTTGAGACATGTCTTAATATTGGGCAGATGGCCACTACCTTCAGCCTTGCATCCTTGAAGGAGTCGGTAGACGCTTTCACCTTCAGGCACTTCCTCCAGATTTCAGAGGAAGAGGACTTCCTCCACCTGCCGCTAGAGCGCCTTGTCTTCTTCCTGCAGAGCAACAAGCTGAAGAGCTGCAGCGAAATAGATCTCTTCCGCGCCGCTGTCCGCTGGCTGCAGTACGACTCGTCCCGCCGTGCCAATGCCAGCCAGGTGCTCTGCCACATTCGCTTCCCACTCATGAAATCCTCTGAGCTGGTGGACAGCGTCCAGACCCTGGACATCATGGTGGAAGATGTCCTGTGTCGGCAGTATCTGCTGGAGGCTTTCAACTATCAGATCCTGCCCTTCCGTCAGCATGAGATGCAGTCCCCTCGGACCACCATTCGCTCGGATGTCCTGTCCCTCATCACCTTCGGTGGCACCCCTTACACGGACAATGACCGGACGGTGAGCTGCAAAGTGTACTATTTGCCGGACACCAGCATGCGCCAGTTCAAGGAGCTGACTGAGATGGAGGTGGGCAGCAGCCATTCCTGCGTGGCTGTGCTGGATAACTTTGTCTACGTGGTGGGAGGGCAGCATCTGCAGTACCGGAGCGGCGAGGGGGCCGTCGATATCTGCTACCGCTACGACCCGCACCTAAACCAGTGGCTGCGTATCCAGGCCATGCAGGAGAGCAGGATACAGTTCCAGCTGAACGTCTTGCATGGCCTGGTGTATGCCACGGGGGGCAGGAACCGGTCGGGGAGCTTGGCCTCTGTTGAGAAGTATTGCCCCAAAAACAACGAGTGGACCTACGTGTGCTCTCTCAAGCGCAGGACGTGGGGGCATGCTGGGGCCACGGTGGGAGGCAAGCTATACATCTCAGGGGGGTATGGAATATCTGTGGAAGACAAAAAAGCCTTGCACTGTTATGATCCGGCAGTTGATCAGTGGGAGTTTAAAACTCCAATGAACGAGCCTCGAGTCCTCCATGCCATGGTCAGTGCAAACAGCAGGATTTATGCGCTGGGAGGCCGCATGGACCATGTCGACCGCTGTTTTGATGTCTTAGCTGTGGAATACTACGTGCCTGACACCGACCAATGGACAACTGTGAGCCCGATGCGGGCAGGCCAGTCGGAGGCGGGTTGCTGCTTGTTAGAAAAGAAGATCTACATCGTGGGAGGCTACAACTGGCACCTCAACAATGTCACGAGCATCGTGCAAGTGTATAACACAGAGACTGATGAATGGGAAAGGGACCTGCATTTCCCCGAGTCTTTTGCTGGCATAGCATGTGCTCCAGTAATACTGCCACAAGTGACGACCCAGAGGTAGCCACGCGTGGCCGTGTCCCCCACAAAATCGCCTTCTGTGTTGCATGTTGTCAGGACGCTGTGTTATTCCTTTGTGGTTGTTTGCAAATAATGTGCATTTTGTGGGTGAGGGAAGGAGGAAAATAGCTTGCATTCCCTTCCACCTTCCTCTCGTCTAGCAGTCTGGCAGCACATTCCATCAGGAGCACTTGTCAGCCAGTTAGACTTAACAGTTGCTGCAGCAACATGTGCTGTCTCATTCTGGGGGGGAAGAGGGCGTTTCTCCCCTTCTTTTTAACAACGTTGTGCATTACAAACACTGACCGCTCAGGAGTACTTGCTAACCTTGTGGTATGTTTAAGTGTCCAGAGGTGACCTTCCGAAGTGTCTTCTGCTCCAAAAACTCATTGCTTTGTGTTTCGTCATGATGTTTCATAGAACAAAACCAAAATCTTTATAACATACTGACCTCTGGAAGCAATAAGGGGATGCTGGGAACTAGAGTTGAGGTGCTTGGATTCTGAAAGCATTCTTGCTTCTTTTCTTTATCCATTAGAGGGTGAATTCTCTCTGACCTCCAAGAGTTTGTGTCACTTCTTTCCTCTTCCCCTTATGTTACAGATGAATGGATCCCCCTCCCCCCATCCCCGCAGATCATTTAATGTTCTAGTCAAAACGTGCCTATTTCATTGGGGCCCCCAAATGTGTAATGCTAAAGGCCATGCTGGCAGCTTAGTATGGAAGCTGTATGTAAAAGGGTATGATTTTCATAATTGCCAATACGCATTTGACTTCACCAGCAATAAGAATCCTGCAGCTGTTCAGCTGTGCTTGCACTCTGATATAGGCCGAGGGCACGTAGGGACTGCATTTTAGGACTCCATTGGCTGTGTCTTTCAAACCCCTTCACTTACATGTGTTCATCCAAACTTTCTTTAATACAACCAAAGAGGTGGAATGCTGCTTATCCAAAAGCTCCAAGGTTCCTTCTCAACTTAGAAATAAGAAACTTGGGATCTCAATGCCACAGAAATCAGTGAAATGGCAAGTTTTGTTACCCTCAGCTGTTTTGTTTGTTAACAAGAGATCCATTGTCAAAGCGCTTTGTGCTTTTTGTGAAATGCATGGGGCTTTTTGCGCACAGAATGCTACTTCTAGAATGTGTGTGTCGCCCACTCCTCCTCCACCCGTTTCTGTCTTCGAAACAATTTGACCTGAGAGTACACTGGAAATATCTCCCTTCACTGGGCATTTTGTTCCAAGGGCTTTGGATTCTTTCTGTACAGGAGATGCGACCTTTGGAGGAAGCAGGTGTGTTCTGGTATTATATAAATGCTGGACCGTACTTCCAGTGGCAGTATACAATGCCTGTTTTGCTAATGTATCATTGCTCAGACCTGTTCAAAGCATGAGCTTCATACCTCAAGTTCTCTTGAAGATCGTTGTTCTTTGAGAGTTAAATTATTTTGGATGTGATACAAATAAGCGTGCATGCTCCCTGGTAAAGCCCCAAACTTGACATGTTGAAATGATTTTGTGCCAATGTTACTGTCTCCCTCTGCCCTGGCTTGCCAGGGAATGATTAAAGATAAAGCCCCCATTTTACTGCGAGATGCCAAAATCGATGTGTAAGCTCTGCTTTCTGGCTCTGCAGCAGTTAACAACGCTGCACCCATTTGTGCTGACATTGATGCTAGTGCCCTAGAAACACTGCAAAAAAAAAAAAAAAGGCTTATCAAATAAGGGACAAAATGTGAAAGGAAACAGATGTAATCCATTAGGAGCCAGAAAGTAACAAAACCATGGAATCCCTTTTCATCAGGATGCTCTGCTCATGTTTAAGACACTCTCTTAGGTTCCTAACCCCCCAAAGGGAACCTGCCCTTTCTTCCTTATCTGTTTGCAAAATGCATCTACGTTTGTGTGAAAGAACCACTGGATTGCTCTTTCTTATTTTTGTTTAAACTTTCAAATCAGTATGTTTTCTTTGCCAGTAATGCAGCTTGGGACCTGACCTCTCCTGGCTCGCCAAGCTGTGCAGACCCAGTGTTCGCAGGCTACCCCACAATAAGCAAACTGGATCGCTCGCATGGTGGATGCAGTGAGTCTGTTGATAAAGGACTTGACATTTTTTCCTTTCAATCTTCCAAGATGGTGTGCTGAATTGTTGAGGGAGCAGAAGAAAAATAAACTTTATAATTGCAAAAAAAAAAAGTTCACCTTGTTTAAAAAACAACAACAACAAAGAATGAATTCCTGGAAGGATGGTTTTATAAAGGGTGGAGTCCACACATGCATCCTTCCAGAATGGGCAATTATTACAAAAACCTGCTATAGCCTGGTAACTGGACCAAACTAGCCTGGTAAGTGGACTCCTTCCCCAACCTGATAGAGCAGAGGCAAGGGTGGGTTTCTGGAGTCTCGGGCTGGAGACTCGTGGCAGAGCAGTGCTATAATGAAATATTCTTTTATAGAAATAAAATATTTTTCATAAAGTCAAATGTAAAAGTTCTGGATGTTCTTAATTGAAAGGAAATGGAGTGAGAAGTTTGCGATAGCGTGCAGCTTGCATACCAACAGTACAGGCGATTCTACTCCTGTGAAATGCATAGTGATACCTCAGAGCTCTTACGTATGTAACCTCTGCGTTGCCCTGAGAATAAACTGGATTCTTTTAATGTATGGTAGCAATGTGGACGAATGCAGGATCTGGCCTGCAGTGATGCTGCTTTGTTTCCCAGTTTAGCATTTTGACTCGCAGCAGGGCTCAGCGGGGACATGGATGTAAGTTAGGAGTCTGTTCTCTGATAAACCTAATTTGAGACCATTTAGGTATTTGGAGGAGGCCTGATCTTTTATGGAAGCACGTTCCTTCCCCTCTGCCCTGGGCCTGGTTTGCTTTGGGACTGTGCTGGGAACAATCTCTTGTTTGATACCAGCCTGCAGAGCTCGTCTGGGTGATGCTGTACATGCTGATTTTTGGTGGGCCAGGTAAAACGAAAGGACTGGCTTTGCTCTTTACTTCAGAACTCAGTTGCCGGCTGTTTGTCTGGTGGGCTCTGCTCGGTGAGATGCCCTGTACAAAAAGTCGTTGGCCTGGGAGCCTCTCCCTGCTCAGAAGAACAAAGCCAAACACGTGTTTGATTGTGCTCCGAGTCATTTGTGGCTCAAAGCAGCAGTAAACGTTATAGGGGCAAGCCCGACTAGGAGCTTGTTAAAATACACCGGAACAGATGGGGAGTGGTAAAAGCAAAGCGTCATTAGTTCTAGGTATTTGTGCAGAGTGTACGTCTCCCTTCAGAGTCTCCTGTCTGTGCCCAGATAATGGCCCCCATCCTCTCTGACATTTTATGGGCCTGAAAATGTACTTGAAGCTATAAAGGAAGAAAAATGAGAGTGCTTGGCAGCATACCGAGTGTCCAGTGCTCAGGACTATCTGCTGCCTGCAGCCTAGTCACTTAACGCTCCCCCAGAGCTCTGTCTGTCTGCTGGGAAATCTTGCCTCCGTTTCTCCCTGCAATAGAAGTTAGTTAATCCTCTGGGAACCAGCAAGCCCATCCTCAGACATATTTCCCAAGGCTCTTGCTCCAGTCCTCCAGGATTGAGTAGCAAGGGATACTGTGCGTGCTCTGATTTAGAGTGGGATGGAGCACCTTCCACTAGCTCTGAGCACGCTGCCAATGACTGAACATGACAAAATACATTCGCCTCTGTCCAAGCAACCCACAGCAAATGTGCTCAAACACTCCCACCCCCGTGCATTGACCAGCTCCATCCACCTACCCCTCTTCCGGGGTGGAGGAAAATGAGCACTGCAGCACACCCTGGAAGTCAGTAAACCGAGGGTGTTTGGGAGCAAGAGGGGGATGTCGCACAGTCCTGGACTCTCTGCTGTGATTCTCCACCAGGGTGCCTCAGCCCCTTGGGGTGCCTTGAGCTTATTTCAGGGGTGCCCCAGAGTGCCACGCAATGTTGGCGCAGTTAGGTGTGCAAACACGACTCACGAGACAAACCCAGAGATTTCAAATAGGAATCCATGCTGTTAAAAACCTTCTAGCCTGTCGGGTGATTTCTGAGTTCTCTGCAACAGCAGAATGACTCTGTTCTTTTCCTGTAATCAAAAATCGAGTGAAACCTGAGAGCTGACATTGTCCAAGGGGTGCCTTGAGTCCAAAAAGGTTGAGAACCACTGCTCTACTGAACACTTTGCTAGGCAGCACCCTCTGTGCTGTGTTGGGCTCTAGCATCAGCACCGCTGCTGACTGCCACTCTGCAGCACATCATGGAGAGAAAATACCCGTGGCGAGGCCCTAAATTGTGAAAACATTATCTGTATTTTTAAATCAAATTGTACAGCAGAAAGTGTTCTAGTGCACCAGGAAGCACTCTGGCAGTTGGAACCGAGCAACTCTCATCAAAATAAATGAACTCAGTACGGTTTGCAATGCACCTCCGGGTTTGGTCCTTTTTTTTTTTTTTTTTTTTTTCAGTCTGGCATTACAAGTTTTAATTTGCAAAACTTGGCCAGTTACAATAGCCCTCCCTGTCATTTGTGTGACTTGACGGGTTCACTGCAGGTGCTACAAGGAGAGGGAGAAGCCAGCATGATTTAATAAAGCAGTGGTTGTGCTGGGCCCCTCCGGGTGTTCAGGTGGGCGAGGGAGCAGTCTGTCTCATTCACTGGAATGCTCCGTCATCCTTGATCCCATCCCAGGCATTTGTAACTCTGCTATTGACATTTGCTTTGGGAAGAAACTTGACCTGCAAGGTCTCCACCTGGGACTTGGTTTTTTAATAAAAAACCAAGCCTCCAAAATTCCATCTGTTGTGGAGAACGCCGAGTCGCACTCTGCATTTTAAGCAGTGCTGCGCACAGCATTCACCCAGCAGACCCCGAAATTTTCTGTTTTTCATCCCAGACTAATAACCGAGTCTCGCTAGGGCAAAGTCTGGTGCTTTTTGGATTGCTTTGGCTCTGCAGTGTTCTGCAGTGAGGTCTGGACCTTTTATTTGTGAGCCCGTTGCAATTCCAGATTCACAACCGCTCAAACCTTGAACCTTTTCCCGTGCTCTGCTGGGGTCTCTGCCATGGAACGTGGCCTGGGGCAGCACGGAGAGCATCAGCCAGGAGACCCATGTCTGCAACCTGAAATGAGGTGTTGATGAGAGGACAAAGGGTAAAGATTTAGAAAGGAGGACAGGGAGCTTCAGGAGACCACAGTGCAATCCAAAACAGGAGACGGCCTCAGTGCTACAGCAAGTCTCTGAGTAAGTTTGTGTGCTGTGGAGAACAAATCAAAGCCTCTTGGCTTGGTCCCTGAGGCCTTGCAGTTGCTGTTTCACACCTAGCCCTCGTCACATAATTAGACCTATTTTCTATGGCCTCTTACTAGTATATGCAAACCAAGAGCCAAGCCCGGCTCCTGGCTTCACTGGTGTAAATTTGGAGTACTTCCTCTGAAGTCATTGGATTTCTTCCAGATCAACACTGAACTAACTAGAGTAGAATCTAGTCCTGCAGCTGAGAAGGGGCTGGTGCACGTTGTCTTCTGGTCGCTTTGCTTTGGAAACGTTCCCCAGAGGTGTGTTGCATATGATTATCAGATACATTCTCATCAGGCCGCTAATCCGTGTCTCGTACAAAGGCAGCTTGCCACTGTTTTGTCTTAAGTACAGCATAGTTTCTCTCCAGCTCACTAGCATGGTCTGAGAAGTCAAAGCTGGAGTGCTGTTTAAACAGGCAGCCTTTTTAAGGGTATAATTTTACTGGTTCAACATCTATTCATCTCAGTGAACCAAATTCTCGTGTTCAGACGAAATGGGCTAATGGCAGCAGTATGAAGCTGTGTCATACAATGCATTTTTCAGGCTTATTGAGGGTTGAGAGAGAGCAGCTCATTTAATAGGGCAGTCTGTGCACTAAAACCACCTGCTTTGTATGTGTGATACAGGGGCCTGATCTGTAGGAAGGAATCGATGCTTGCGCACGTTGGCGGCTTCCTAGGAAGCAAATGCAAGCAGATGCTAGGGGATGGGTGCGCTGCAACCAGTGAGGCAGGTGGGAATGCATTCTGCTTGCTTAGGTCAGAACTTCGTGTCCTCCGTGCTTCTCTCTAGGTCACCGTGCCTTGTTCTGCTAAGATCTAGATTGCAAAGTGGTTACCGAAATCTGCTCAAAGTGCTTGTTCCACAGGGGTAGGAAATGGTTGATATTTTTTTAACCCCCGCCTCTTCCCCCACAAAAGCTGACAAGCATTTGCATCTCATTCGTTATTTGTAGAAACAAGGACAGCTGGCCGGTGTTACCTGCGGTAGCCTTTCTCCACTCACCGCATGAAGATACTGTGTTTGAGACTTCTTGTCAGGATTTGAGACTTTTAGGCTGCCTCAGACGTGGGAAAGGCTGCTGTTTGATGTCCAGGGCTGCAGCTGTGGGGGAAGTCCATCCTTATCACTGCCTATCATGCTAAGATAGAAACTATTCTAGCTTTTATAACAAGGCGTGAACAATATGAAATGCAGAAAAAGCAACCCTTGTTTCCATGACTCTTCATTAGATAGTCTCGAGCCAGGGCCTTGAAAATAGCTGAAGAGCTGTGTTTGGTTTCTTTGGACAGATGATAAGTGGTTAGTTAAACTGCTTGAAGCTCGGAGGCTGTCATTTGGGAATCCATCATTTGCATGGTGCAAAGTTAGGGATCGCATTCTGTTACGGACGGGGGTTTGAGAGAGAAGAACTGGCGGTGGAGTGGATGAGTCTGAAGTAGCAAAGGGATCATTAAAACCTTGCTAGAAATGGCAACTGTTCTGAGAGTCGTTGACCCTGTATCAGGAAGGAAACTAAGCTTGCTAGCGAGTCCAGCCCTGTTGGCAAAGCATTGGAAACGGTTGACCCCATGACTCCTAAGTGTGTGCTCCAAGTTCAGTTGTGCTCATCTGCCTTCCTGAACCCGGGCTCAGCTCTGCACCTAGGATTGTGGGTGTTTGCTGAATTAGGGCCTTAATGACTGAAGCCGTGAGGCTGGGTTGATCTGTCCTACAAACTTCTACCAACATAACTGTCAGTCTGGGGCATTAAGAGACGTGACCCCCACCGGATAGAGCTGTGCCTGCAGAAACGCCTTGTGTAGACA